AAATTATTGTAATCCAGATTTAGACCCCCACTTTGTATGCTTCTGCAAGCAATACATTTTCTTTCATTTGTTTTAGTTTATTCTAGTATTAAGGATTTATTTTACACTTGAACTAATAAAGTATATCTGCTTAGTTATTGTAGTAAGCTAAATTATCCGCAGAGTTTACTTGAAGCAGTGTTTTGCATAATTGAGACATAAAGGACAAATCAAGCCACTTATCCAAATTTCGCTGCAATAGAGCAGAACTGGGTTTACATGGAATAAAACATTTTAAGGCATAATTTTACTTAATTTTCAACGAAGAGAAGTTTTAATCAACACTTTTTATGTTTGAGATCCCTTGATAGTTTTTATTTTTAAGCAACTGTTTGCAGTATGCTTCTACAAATTTGATTGCATTTTGAAGGCCTGTGTTTGACACCGAAAGGAGTGGAAAATCATCTGCATAAAGTAAACAAGAACAGTGTCTGGTTAGAAGTGTTGGCGGGTCATTATTGGGCATTTATATGTGCTGCTTTATATCATTAATATTAACAAGAGACTTAGACGCCCCCTAGCCTAATACCTCTATTATTTGGGAAGCTACTTGTTAGACCCTATGTAGAAGAATTCAGATGTTATTTTTGCAGTTTGTAGAGCAAACCAAGATGTCAGATTGAGTCAAATGCTTTACTTTAAGGGGTCTATGTTTGTTTGTTCAGTTGATGCCGCGTGTGACTATGTCCATACTTTCAAAGATAAAAATAACTTATTAAGTATTAAACTACATTAGCCTTTAACTACAATGCACGAGTCTTACCTGAGTAAATTCATGTTACATATTGTTATGGCAGGAAACGGTAGATCGTTGGCGTAGGTAATCTTCACATCGACATTAACAGGGTAATCCAGATAGAGATTAACGCTGCGTACAATCTGATATACTAGGAAACCAGCACCCGTCAACACAACCAATAGCCAAAAACACCTGTTGCAAAGAAACATTCATACTATCAACTCTCAGTTTCTATAACGGGACATGATGACACTCGCTTTGCTCGTGAAAATACGGCCGCATGTTACATCCCATCACTCGTTAAAATAACTTCCGTACACTCCCGTTTCTTACGATTGTGAGCTCTACAAATATAGAGGTTAACTCTCGTGTACCCCATTCCTCCCACCGAATGACATGGAATCTACCCCGCCACTGTCGTTGTCCACCTCGTACGGTAGATATCGCACATTTCCATTCGTGACCTAACGATCACAGGCCAAGCACAACAACTACTACGCTACTCTGAAATTAGTAACCACCATCCATCATTTCAAGTTGTTGGACTCAGATGAAGATATTATATACTAAATGTTTTTTTAGCCGTGTTTTAAAAAATGACTCACAAAAGCACGATACATTGTATCGTGTTTCCTTATCCATATTCAGTATTGAAGATAAATTGTTCTTTAAAAAAACTGTAACCACTCTTTAGGTCGCCTGGCTGGGCATTGTGAATAGCTAACGAACAAACGAGCATGAGAACATACACCGCAAGAACCCACATGGTAAGCTGTTATTGGACACTTTATCATGATACACAAGCAAGCAGACATGTTAACATGTTAGACACACAGTTCACAGACATGACTACAATCAATCTATTTTACATGGGACATGACACGGCATGTGGGTGCCAAGTACGGAGTAATGACCACTGATCAACCTGAGACGCCAGTAATTCACACCAAAGACGCATGTATCGACTTTATTTTTACATGAACTGAAAGATATATTTGACAGAAAAAGGCGATTACAACAAACCAACGCGCAATGTGATTACCACGGCCGTAATGGGTTATTCCGCGTGAGCTGGCGACTGACAAAGAGGCCCATGGGACTCGTTAATAACACTCGACGACGGAACCGAGCCCACTTGTATCGGGAGTACAGGAAATTGTATAAATCATCAATGTTTCAATTTACTTCTATGCCAACAGGTTTTAATTGTATATAGTTCCCCTGGCACAGCAATAGCACATAGCGACACTATCCGCGTCGTCGTTTTCTATAAAAAAAAATGTATTGTGATTAACACGGTTTAAGCGAGGTTTGATATTAGGGGTTATATTATAAAAATCACGTGCTTGGATTTTGTATATTCCACAAATACGGTATTCACTTAAAATGTGAATTTCTGAAAGTATGAAAAGCTTTTAAGTTATACAACCCGGAAGACCCTCACGCTTCATTGAAACCCAAAGAAGACGCTTACATTCAAATGTTTGTGTTTGCGTAGCGTAGTACAGTGAGCATTTTTCTGGACATACAGTCGGAGTGGGCGAATTTAAATATCAAAGTGAGCGAGTGTGTTGTGATTTTTTCATTAATTAACGAACATTGGATTGAACACAAGTATGCTGATGTACTCAAAAAGATTAGGATGCGGAGATGACCACATGCCTGCTTTTATCGAGATCGAAATGTAATGTATCATTTGCATTGCAATTCGCAAAATAGGAGTTGACCAATAGAAACTGTTGGGGGTACATTTGGAGAATACAAAATATACACACGTGTACCAGAATCCCTGTGTGGGATAGACCAATTAATGTATTGGGGGAGACGGTCTATACATGAGGTTTATGAATATAATTCCACTGTGCATTGTGCAATCACTGGTAATAATATCAATAGTGAGGTGTAATCATACTAGTATAATAACGTGTTAAAGGAAAGGCCAGTTAACACGTGGGGTTCAATGCATGGCAAAAAAACACGTTTCTGGCCATAATTCGAATGGAACTGTATTTTATATTTATCTCAAATACCTAGTTAATCAATATAAGTTTAGATATTTATATTGCTGGAACCCATGTTATAACCCGTTTCATTCTCATTAAGATAATTTTGTTGTATATATGATTTGTGGAACGTTTATATATCAAAGAGAGAAAGAAAGAATATTGACATTCACAATCTATATAGTGTTGACTAGAACTAAAATATTTAAATATACACAGATATTGGCACTTCTTTATGTGTTAAAATATGTTAATAGAAAAATACGATTGGGTCAAGGTGTATTACCTGAGAACTCTCGGATTCAGAAAGATTTAATGAAGAGGTCAAGTTCAATATATTAGAATGTTGGAAGAAACCTAAAAACAATTTTGACAAGAAAACTCAGAAATATTAAGAATAATTTATAACGAAATGAGCACGCCAATGATAATTTTAATAATTACTGATTACACAATTACAGAAAAAGGTAATTAATATGTCCCAAATATATTTTGCATTTTCCTTATCTTGAGTTATGGCTCAACAGATGAATTAAATTACAAACCATGTGTGTTCAGCAACTCGAGTATAAACAACTTTTAAGATTCTTTCTGCATAAAACAAAATAATTTCACAATGTCGAATACGTAGACGTAGTAGTGTTTTCTATATAGTTTTGTTTGCTGTATACATGTTACAAAATGTTAAGAAGACTGCCAGTGGACAAAACATTCAAGTAGAATAACCTGTGTCACACAAATCAAGTATATGGAGTATAGCGATGGTCATGCGTGGATTGTACAAGTAGAAAATCATGTAGTATTTTAAACACTTGTAAGCAAAAATACCAGAGTATTCAACTAACAATTCTTGAAGATTTACTTTTTATTCAACACTGAAGTTCTCGCTGAAAACGAAAATTACTTTCATTCCATCGAATCACAAAAAAAACCTGAAAGCTGCATTATCGTAATTTCTTTGCTCAAACCATCTATTCGCAATGAACACCGGTAATCATATATGTCAGTAAAGAATAATGTCAATAAAGTTACCTTATCATGTATGTGTAGATATTACGACGAATTTTCATTTCAAGTACCAGATTGAGACTTTATCAAGTTGTGTTGTTTTGTCCAACATCTAATACTCACAATATAAAATTGATTCCTAAGAGTTCCAGAGAATCTATAGTTTTGAATTTAAAATGTTGTAATGTGACTGATGTTATTATTCTATAGTATTTAGTTCAGTGTATATATGTAAATCACATTCAATGCTACGTGCAAACGTATACCACTAAGGTTTGAATTTCACATATGGGGAGAGATATGATATGTAAATTAAACAAATATATGTAAGTCATGTTCAATGCTACTTACAAATGTATACTACTAAGACTTGAATGTTCTGGATTTTGTTTTAAGAACTACAAGATTTAACTTTACGATATGATCTCTGTGTAATTTTAAAATGAGTTTTCAATAAATACCTCGTAACGTTACTGTGTAATACACAACATTTATTCATAAAGGTTCTGTGGCATGGAACTTGGAGGGAAATAACAGCCGTTTGTGATTCCGAGTAATGGTTTTACTGATATTGTGAATATAATTTAATGGCTACTTGTATTCAGCAGATATTGACTGAAAGGCGGATAAAACTATTTTTAGTGTTAATACAAATATATTATCGCAGAGAAATCAAAATAAGTAAGACGGTGATGTAATCCATACATGCATATGACATCTTAAAACTATTCCTGGCATTATTAATCGTTCCATGTTTGCCACGTATATGACAATATATGTTGTGAGTTGTACATGTACATTCACTTCTTTGATTGTGATTGATTTTACATAATGTTTACGAAATAATATTAATATTGATATTTGTGTATTTGCATAGTCCACAGTCAAGCGAAGTTCAACAGCATGGACGATGAATGTTGTTATTTCATTTGTATCAACGCATTATCAGATGATTTTCTTTGAATTACTTTTGGGTAAAAATAATTACTGGATTTTCAATTAACTGCTCACTGAAATTCCAGTTATCCTCAGGGGCGGACATCCGGGCATTTTCTACCGCCTGGCAACCCTCGCGGTGAAAACAAAGACCAAAAACTCGCAGAAAACGGTACTTTGCGATGATTGTTGAGAGTCCCCTGAACAGTGTAACAAGATTAGCCGTACGTGTGTAACATATATTAATTTGGTTGTTCAGGATTACTTCAAAGTTGAGTTTGTGTTGTTTTCTCGAGTTTTCACCGGCTCCACGGCGTTCCACAGCAGCGCGCACAAAGCCCCATAGAAATACGTGGTACAGTGGTGCGCGTCTTAGCAACGTAGAACGTCCGTGACGAATAAAGTAACTCGATTTTCAGTTAACAGTTAATTGAACACCGAGTTATAGTTTGGGCGGGGTTTCTAAAATATAGGCGTGGTAATTTTTGTAACTCGGTGTTAAGGTAGAAGCCTACTCATAAATTTTGAGAAAATTTATTGGTAAAATATGTAAAATCATGACGTTAATATCCAATAGTACCATGAAATAACAATCTTTTGTGTGTTACTGTGGCGTATTTTGAGAAACTTGTCCTATTATTTTCCAAAAACACTATTTTTAGAACAATTCCATAGAGCACGGTGTTAAAAAATAATTACATTTTAAAACCCAGAATAATTAATGGCAACAACAAGTCCCCAATCATTCACAATATACAATTTGAGATATGACATAATATCTCTGCCATACTAGGATCCTAAAAGCGTTACAATACTGACATAATTGCCAAGATACACTAAATTATTTCAACAATTAGGCTTGTGACCTCCAACTTATTTTAAATCAATATCTTTATTTTGCCTGGAAGTATAATTTATTGGAAAATGAATAAATGTTGAGTATTTGCATTCATGAATAGGCGTAACCTTGACAACCCGAACAATTCTGAATCTCTGTGGCATGTGACCTATAGTCTACGCATTGTAATGACCACCACAGTTTAAGTAATCTGAAATCCGATTAGATTGGAATGATGGCTGCTTTAACCCCACCCACACCATGTTCGTGTTGAAACGTGCGCATTGCAGCTTTGTTTTATACATATTAAGAAACAAAAATTTAGAAAACAAAAGAAAAAATCAGATTTCATGAAAAATAATAATAAACCGCCCACTCGTGTCGTTTTTAGAAAAAAAATTGGCAAGAAACATTGCTTTGCCTTAATAATCCACGAAAACGTTTCTACTACGCGCATTGTTTAATACTGCCTGTGTATGATTCAGAGAGAGGAGTATTCAATTTTCAGAAATTATTGCTACGAAATAAAATATTCACTGAGGAATTACTTCACCTAGACAGAATAAAATAATCATTTGATTTGGATGCATGTAAACAGATCACTTGCAGTCAACAATAATACATCTAATGCTGTTGTCCCGTGTCATCGAACTGGTCCCCCCCCTCATCTCTATCTCAAGAAATAAAACACTGGTATAGCTTAAAAGACTAAATCTTTGCTTAATAAAGCATATCCAAGTGAATGTATCCTGTGTCCAGATGTCAAATTAGTCACCCCGATACATATCTTGGGACAGGGGCTTACAATGTAAGTAAAGTCAGGGACAGTCATATTAATAACGTAACGTGACAATATTCATCACTTTCATAGAATACATAATTTATTACAAGATAATCTCCCCACAATTCTCGCACCGCGTTCACTAATATTCAATCTGACTAAACCAATACGTCTGATGTTTACATACTAGTAATATTTATCGCCATTAATACGGTATCTGCGATAAAGGCACACCCTGAGATTAAACGAAGACCAACGTTAGAGGTATGACTAGTACAACAGTATTTAAGCGCCACAACCAACGCGCAGCGCGTCTTCAACTCTCGTGTAAACAAGCAATGTACGTGGCATGGGACTCATATGCCGAGGCGTCGCGATGTGATATGATGATTGCGGTACTTTATCAAAATCGATATCAGAGTATTTTGCATGCAGCCGACTGATTAATTCTATTAGAACTCTAACAAACTTTATTATACTAGAAACCCCTAAATTAATGTCACATGCACGTGTGTGTGCATATGTATTTTAATTATAACATGATCACCATATTAGGTTACGAGAATTCGTATGCAAAACATTAATTAAGAATAATGATTTCGACTGATAAAAAGTATATCATCATTTTTATGTTGCAGAATGTGAATATATCGCCATAATGAAAAAATGTGATGTTTTCAATATCCCTGCTGGTTGTTGCATTATGAGTGGGCAAAGCGTTGCTGCAATGAACACACGTTAAAGACACCGTCGAAGCTCAGAAACAATTCTAGCAATGTCGGTTTGCTCTAAGTTATTATTATGACCCATAAGAGAGTTGATATAATCGTATCCGTGAAATTGCTTCGTAAATACTCAAAAATAATAAAACTCATCTGTCCATTATATATATCAAACGTAAATTGTATCAGGTAGAGTAGTATTATAGTGAAGTAAAGATGATAGTGCCTACCGTCTGGGTATTCGGGACTTCTTGTCGCTCACGTACTTCATGCCTGAGATTGTTGACTTCTGTGCAAAATCTCCGATTACTGATTCGTCTTCTACTTTCTTTTCATCTCCGTTTTCTTCTTCATCACTGGAATCCTGAGAATCGCGATCCTTCTGACTCCGCTGTTCAGATAAATCACGAAAAAATAATGCCAGTAAAGAGGTGGATTTTTTGAACTTCGGAAACCCGTTGTTAGCTTTGTCACATTCTCGTTTTTCAGTATTGTCCATCTTGACGCGGTGTAATCGCGAAAGTATCAATCTTGTCGTCCTGTATGAGTAGATGTCCCTTCAGCACCTAATGTACTCGCTTAGTTAACGGTATAAATAATATGAGGACAAGGCAGTATACGTTAACGGGGGTGTTACCTTTATAATTGCATTATACGTCACTCTGTCACGACAATTCTGCCAGTAAGCGGGCTCTTTTCACGTACGTGGCAACACTTCACCGCAATCAGCTCCACTCGTGCTCTGTTTGTGTTTAGACAGTATCAATACGGTGACAGTTTTTGTTGAAAATTATTACTATTTTCAAGGACTGTGCATTTGTTTTATATAGGAGGATACAGTACTGAAAAACTCATTTATTGCCAAGGCAGCATCGATTGCATACACATAGTCGAGAGAGTCAGTATGCATTCAGCATTCGATGGTCGAGAATACAAATGCGAGATACAGCACTTTTGAGCATTTTTTGTTTGGCTCGTACTCTGAATATCCATTTTGTATTACTATTTTTGTTCAAAACATAATAAGATTTGTCTTATATATTGACGCTCTTCACGGTGTGGTATCAACTGATCGATCTACAGTGTTTCCGTCTAGAATCAAGTATCTCGCGAAGTGGTTTAGATGCTGGGGTTCATATTACGTTAATGAGTTCTCGTCGAGGGGAGCGGGATTTTCCTGCGGGCATGTTCTAATAAATGTGTCCACGCCTTTTCATATTTCACGTATTAATTCGTTGTTCTAAATATAAATAAATCCATATAAATGGTATGTTATTCGAGATGATAGCTATATTATTTACACAATGACTCTTTTATTGTATTGCGTTTCAAAACCACTTGTCAAAATGCAAAAAAAAAAAATACAATAAAATAATTAACAAGAACACGTTGACAGTTTGATTTAAATTTCACATTACAATCTTTCAAGAAGGCTCACCTGAGTTGCATGAATAAATGAAATAATGTACTTCACATTTGGCTTCAGTATAATTCGATTTCAAAACAATGAAAAACGAAGAGACTGTAACTCGTGACGTAATACGTTATAATTTAGAGCAGCACAGGCAACCCGTCTTTCTACTCGCAGAACCTTGATGGCGCCCTTCCAGGTTTGGGGAACCGTGATTTAGATTTAGGCACAACCGCTCTAATTTAGGCAAGAAGTCTATTTCATGATATTGCGTTTCAAGGACCGAGTATTATAATGCGCACAACTTTCCGCATTGACTAGGCCCTGTTGGGTTGTAATAACCTGCCAAATGCGACGAAGATACATCGTGCCCTCACTCAGAGACGACTCATGTCGATACTTTCTTCAACCTCGGTTTCATATTTAAACTCGGAACAACCATTTTGCCATCAGTGCTCTGTAAAATATTATTGTCATTCATATAAATTCAAAAAAATACAACGCCCAATTGTGCTAGTAAAACTAAAGCTGGGTTGCCTAGTAACGAGTTCGTCAGAATCGAATGGCATTTGTTTTGATTGATTCTATTTTGGTCAATACATTCAAACGTTCAAAACTGACAGTTTCGTTTCACAGATTTGGAGATGTAATCTGTAAAACGAAGGCTTAAGTAAAAGTCTACAAATACTAGTAGAGGAAGGGCAAGCCGGTACAGGTTACAGGAAATAAAAACGGCATATTACGTTTTTACAGGATATATAATGAAAGCTCCATTTACAGCAAAAAATGGGTTTTTACAAATTACAGATAGAGCAAATTTCTAATTACATTTTACATTTTTATAATATTTATGATAATTTGTGTTGAAAATCAAAATTGTATTACGACATTTAATTTAAAAAATGCTTTATACGCTTGGAAGATAATTTTACAAATTACGGACGAATAAAATACCTGATTACATTTAACATTTTGCTCATGTCTACGAATTTACGTTTTTTTTTTAATTTAAATTACATTTTTACGAAAATAAAAACAATACCCCTTGCCGACCCTCCTAGTACATAACTTGTCTATACGTTTTTTTCTTTAATGGGTCAAAAGGTGGCGCTCTTCCCAGACTCAGTAAATCTCAGAGAAAAAAATGTTTGGGAATGATTAGAAATTGTGGACATCGGCATTATCCAAAGATAAAGTAGTTTGAATTGTAGTTTGGCATTGTGTTTAATCTAATTGGTAGAAATTCTTACTATTCAATCAATCTTAATGTTGTTTTCTGACCAGTTATCTTGGATAGTTCGTTTGAATGTACTCGCTACCAGTTATAACCATACTTCCACGGGGTTGTAGTACACCTAATGTACTGACCGTCAATATATGACTCTATAATATACATGTATTGGAATTCGTTGCAGGTAATCGTATTCAATATAACCAGATATTTTTGTCAAAGTACCCGTTCAGTTGATGATTTTCTTTGTTACGTTGAATAATTACCAAGAATAACGACTACCTACTGCCATTTATCGGTCCCTGGAGCCGCGAAACAACTAAGTGTTTCTGCTGACCTGTATACAAGCTGATGCGACCCGTTACGACCAACAGTTTGAATCGATTCCAATCAATATATGCAATATGAACATACAAACATATCAGTGTCCAAATTTGAAATAATCATATCAAGACATAATGTAAATATCATAACCACATCAGATAGAGAGTTCAAGTACGTTTAGTAAGTACTCTGTTGCACTGATGATATTTGATCTTGACATTCTAATAGCATACAAGTGTTATTAATTGTTTTTCCAATATTAGCTTGGTACAAATGGTTTGCATAGGGCTACTACTTTTCAATTTAAACACACTGCCTGGCTGTAGTTCAATGCAACTATAGCTCCATTATGGTAAATTTTGTATAGTTAATTTAAAAATGTTTGTTTAATTTGAGCCACCTAGTCTTGAAGTACTTTGCAATCAGAATTCAACAATATCTTGAAAACCAACAAAACATGTTCTTCAAATCTAAAAACAAGCAGTCTCTCGGCTGAGATAGCTTCGCTCTTAGCAATGTACATTTCAATTGAAGATGGCACAAAATGAACAAATCTGAGAGTTTGAACAAAAACTGACAAACCATGCATAAGATGCCACATTTTCAAAAAAAACAAAATGGCTGCCAGTCAGCCATCTTTGATTGAAACAGTAAACCACTGCATGTGCATATGTCCCAGATAAAGTACTAGGCACATGCAAAGAATGAACAGATTTGGTCCACAGGTTTCTGAAATATGACTCCGGATGAGATCGAATTATAAGTCTTCGTTCAACAGAGACTAATTAAAGAATTGAAGATATCATCAGGAAATGAACAAATCTAAGAGAGATCTACCCAAGGTACATATACACCAAGTACCAAAGCAATCATGCTTGTAGTTTTCAAGAAGAAGTTGAAAAGTAAAAAAATCTAAAAGGACAATGTACAATCATGCATATGATAAGCTCTGCTTGACAAAGTCGACAGCGAAGCTAAAATCTAAATATTTGAAGTGGAAAATCAATTTCGAATTAAAGAAAGCTTAGAATTAACTCCTGTGTACTGAAGGTATTGGAGGCATCAAGTACAAATAAAGAATACTACAATATTAGAAACACATTTTCATTACAACATAAGACAAACATTGTGTTTATTGCATGCAAAATCATTGAAATATGTCATAATTTTTTACCATAAGACCACATCATAAAACATGAATATGTTTGCAATTTGATCCATGAACAGTTAGCTCACAACATTAAGGTAGTTTATTATAAATCACAAAGTGGTCCATTATTTGAGCAAATTTGAGTACAATGTCATGGAGACATAAAGTGTTGATTAATTATGTTAATTTGGTGATTAATAAGCATAAATATTTACCAAAAACTAATTGGGTCTCTGCATAGTTCTAGATTCATTGAAATGTGACAATGAGTACTCTTTAAAAGTTTCATTAAAATCCAATTCTTTATATATCAGTGGAACATTCATGGACAAAATTTACTAATTATGCAAATTAGGTAATTAATATCCACAATTATTCACACTAAAACTAAAAATAACAAACTAATTAAAACTAATTTACCCTAAACTAATAGTCCTAGATCTATGTAGCAAGTCTCATTGAAATATGATGATTAGTACTTGAGATATCAGGAAAAAAGCTGTAAATTAACTAATTATGCTAATAAGGTAATTAATATGCACAAATATTTACCCAAAGACTAATCAGGGGTCTGCACAGTCCTTAAGTAACTATGTACCAAGTTTCATTGAAATGTGATGATTACTACTTGAAATATCAAACGCTAAAAATTAATTAATTATGCAAATTTGGTAATTAATATGTACTGATATTACCCAAAAAACTACCAGGTCTGTGCAGTGTTCTATGAAACCTATGTACCAAGTTTAATTGAAATGTAATGATTACTACTTGAAATATCAAAAGCTGAAAATTAATTAATTATGCAAATTAGGTAATTAATATGTACTGATATTACCTTAAAAACTATCAGGTTTGTGCAGTGTCCTATGACATCTATGTACCAAGTTTTATGGAAATGTGATGATTAGTACTTGAGATATCAGTGGAAAAGCCGAAAATTGATTAATCATTATGCAAATTAGGTTAATAATATTGCACAGATTTTTACCCAAAACTAATCAAATCTATGCATTAGTTTGGAGCATCTATGTGCCAAGTTTTATCAAAATCCAATGAGTGGTTCTTTAGATATCAGTGGAACAGTCATAGAACAGCTAAAAATCAGCTAATTATCATGCCAATTAGGTAATTAATATGCATGGATTTTTACCAAAACCTAATCAAATCTGCGCATTGGCCCAGAGCATCTATGCACCAAGTTTCATCATAAATCAATTTATGGTTCTTGAGATATCAGTGGAACAGACGGACACACACACATACACACACACACACACATACAGACACACTAACTGCAAAGACTCCCATTGTGTGCTTCGCACACGGGAATCAAACATGGAGGCATAAACTGAATGAGAAAAGTTTTATTAACTTGATTTAAACGCAAAGCCAAGCACGGTTCATTACATATACATCTTATTGGGCGTGTCTGTAAAACATGTGATCAATCGTGTCACTGTAATTTTTTGGCAAAGAAATAAAACAAAACGGTGTTAAGTTGAATTGCCAAGAGGGTGCTCTTTAATAGATGTTCACTGAACAGGTAATAGAGGTGATGGCAAAAATCTTCATGTATGTATTCTCTCACACCATTTGATAATTTACATATAAAATATACTTAGAATTTGACCACAATAAAACACTCATGCAAAACAAGAGCTTCTTCTGATTAATAGTTTTAAAATGGCAAAAATATATGTACACTCTGGAAACAAAGACAAATTTACATCTAAATATATTATATGATCACTATCATTGTAATTCATTGCTTTCTCAAGAGTAATAAAAAACATGTAGCCAAAAAATCTAATAAGTCTTTGAATGCCATTACATTTCATGCTATTTTGCAATTTTTTATACATTTTTCTATAATTTCTATGTTTTTTTGGGACCACGGACATAATATTTTCTATTGCAGGTCTACATAAAAATTGTTGAAAAAAAACATGAAAAAGGGTTCAAAGGGCGTTATTGCATACAAATAACACGTGTAATTGAAAACAAAGAAACAACTAAAATGTTCATGGAAGATAAATTGCAAAAAGGTAGATTGCTACAAAAGAGTACAACGTGTAGTAATTGATTAAATAGGAATTAATTTGTAAGATAATTGATGTTATACTGTCATAATCATACAAGAATTTTAAAATCACCACCATAGTGATGTCATAGTGATGTCATAGAATGGCTGTGAAAGTGTTCAAGGTTTAGAATTTATGTTTGACAAAAATGTTTGCCATATTTATAAGATTACAAAACAAGATTATCCAACCCATATCACACTTGTTTGAGAGAAAAATAAAAAGATAAGATTTGTACGCTTTGTATATGTTAGTAATGGACAATTAAACTCATTTTTAAAAGTATCACAAACCATGAACTTTTTTATATTAATTGTTCTATTATGTCATACATCAAATACATACTTATATACTATTAATAAACAACACAAATTTTGTAAGTAGACTTTTGTTGTTTTGAGAAAACATGGAACAACTACCTCTTCTTTTTACTGCATAAAATAATAATATATCATGTATATACCGTATTTGTTCTATTAAAAATTGCATTTATTATATGTGGAAATATTGAAATATTTTGACCGTAGAAACACTTCAAATAGAGCAAATACAGCATTAGAAACTTCCATTATATTTTCTAGCATTACAATATACAATAACATTAAGCAAGGTACTAAATCATTTCACTTTTCTAATGGGCAGTAGTCATGGCTACCATGTGCAGTCAAATGAACTGTGTAAGTAAATAACACACTGACCCATATGCATACAGTATGTTGCTACTTGTAGTATGGGACCCATATTGAATACACATTATCATGACAACCTTTAATCAGCTTCCTCAATAAGTCATGTGATATACAGTTTAGATATCAACTTTTTGACCATCATAGTCTGTGAACCATATATCATGGTTGTCTTTATCAAGGCAGGTTCCTATAGTGCCGATAACACCTTCAATGTCTGTGTCTTTCAACATACTCAGTATATGCTCACTGAAACCCTGTTCGTCTGTATTGTATGTATCACAGAGTGATTCTGAATGCTGAGGCATCATTTGTTGTTGAGGGGTTGGTTGATCATACTGCGACACAAGAGATCTGACTAAAGATGTATTTACAGGTTCTATGGGGAAAGAAGGACTCTGTGCTGCTTGCTCTTGTAACTCTGCGAGGAACGAAGATCTGTCTTGGTCTGAAAATTTTGTGAAGTCCAATGATTTCTTATGGAAATGCTCCCTAGCCTGCTTTGAATTTAAGACTGGGTGGTCAGTGACAACTTCGGCATTAGTCAATCTAACTTGTGTAGATGAGGCAACATTTGGTGGTGAGGCAATCTGTGTTGCCATGCCAACATCATGACAAAAACTATTATGGTTGCCAGGTGACAGCAGATAACTTGTAAGCTGTGGATATGAGACAGTGATAGACGTGTTCTGTGAGAAGTCAGGCATTACTCCAGGTACAGTCGTAGTGGCTTCCAAACTTTGTGGAGGTCGATGAACATAGTTTGTTGGTGAGGTGTGTTTTAAAAGATGTGCCACACATTCACTGTCAAAGTAGTTGCTGTCACAGTAGGGTGATTTTGTTGTTGTTCCATTCATTTGGGACAATTTCTCTTCCATAGCATTCAATTGCTGTCTCTGTTTCTCAACATCCAGTATCTACATAAACCAAAACATCATATGAATTATTTCAACAATGTGGTTTGGGAGTATCCTCAGTGAAGAGGATTAAGAATATGTTACTTGAATTAAGGCAATGTTAGGAATTCCTTTTCTAGAATAATTTGATAAATTCTTCAGTTGAGTCAAAACATATATTCAAGGAAAAATTTGATGTATTGAATAATATAAATAAGCTGCTCTCTGATTGGTCCAACTCTTAGATGTCACTGCAGGGTTGCCAATCAGACACAATATTTATATAGCTTCGGATTTACTCTAATTCTGGGTAGCCATCTTGATACACCATGGCACAAATTTTAATGCAAATATAAATCAAGTGGGACACCTGATTGATATTTTATATAGTGTTAAAAACTGCTATATTTTGTGAAAACAACGAAGTTTGTCATCTTTTTGGGAATCATTTTACTATTTTTTTAACTACATAGTCCCTGTTTATATTATAGACATGATATACATAATTATATATTTAATTTTTTTAATATAGAATTTTATATATATATGACCTAATGTGTGATGTGTCTATTGATTGGTCCAATCAGCCATTTTGAATCCAATCTAAATATAAAATGATGTGCATCATTATGTTCAGATTTTGTACCATGTTTGAACAGAATCTGTCCATACAGTACTGAGATCCAGTTCCAGAATGGTGAAAATGTGAAATTTTAAGCATTTTTGGTCTTAAAATTTATTCAGCTTATGTCCCTAGCAACATGTTTCTGTGATATAACAAGGTATATCATTGGTCGTCCAACGACAAATACTAGAAAAGGTTCATGTACCTGCATATCAACAAGTTTTTCCAGGCTGGGATTCTTCACTAAATGTTTTGTGATTTCTTCTTTTGTTTTCTTGATTTCTCGCAACTGATTTTCTATTGCTATTTTCAAATGTAGATTTTTCTGCTGTAATTCTTGGTTCATCTGTGCATTCCTCTGTGCTGCCTGGGACGTAAGATTCTGTTTAAAAAAAAAGTTGAATATATACATTAACAAGCAGTCTCTTGGCTAGCTCCGCTGTTAGCAGTGCACATTCCAATTACAGAATTGAAGATATCAACACAAAATGAACAAATCTGAGTGAGAGAGGTACACCTGAGGTACATACCGGTATATGTATAATATCAAAGCAATCAAACTTAAAGTTTTCAACAAGAAGTCAAAAATATCACTTTTTACCAAAAACGACAAAAATATTCATCTAAATTAGAGAATTGAAGATATCATCATGAAATCTAAGACAGGTCTACCCAAAGTATCAAAGCAATCAGACTAGTTGATGCAGACGCCAGCCAAACACACAAAGTCAACAGCAGGGCTAAAATGCGTAAACTGTCCCAAATATCATTAAATTTCTGAATAGAAAACAATGTTTTGTCACTAAAATTTTTTTTCAATTTTTTGTGTTAGACGACATTGAATATCACTGTTGTCTCTCATTGCCAGTAGATTTAGCTTTCCCATTGAGGGGTTGACCCAATTTAATGTATTTTCAACTTATGGTAGGAATAGAACTTGGATCTACTGATCATAAGTCTGATGCTACATACAACAACTATGCTATGCTACCAGTGATATTTTTATCCAAAAAAGTTTTAGTACACAATTTGCTGTGTCCAAACAAGGCTTAAATGAAACACATAATTTCTTATAGATGAACTAATTTTGAACCTGTGTGCATAGATGCAGAAACCATATATTGAAGGAAAATATCTTGTATGTACAATCTGCATATCATGCTACAGGCCAAAAAAACCAAGCTTATATAACACTAGATAAATACCTGTATTTTTTTCCATGTAGATACAGCTGGTCTGTACTGCATTGAAGATTTTAAGATTCTAGCTTTGGTTGTGGGACTGTATGGTTTACAGCGAGAGCGTCTGCTAGTTGAGGGTTTCACTGACGTACTGATGACATCATTACAGAGATTCAAAACAATGTCATTTTCAGTGTCTTTCATAAGGGAAAGTAATGAAGACTGATGTACTTTGGAAATGGCTGAAGTATTCTGGATGTTGTTGTTGGAGCTGTTCTTGTGACTAGAATCCTGTGAAATACCGTCATTCATTGTTGCTGGAGTAGCCATTTGATTAGTCATGGCCGGCTCTTTCAAAATGCAGGTAGATATCTTGCTTTTTTCAGATGTGACTGAAATAATAAAATCCACAATGATGTCATGAAATGATACAAATCAACCAGACAAATGTGGTCATTATATATTTAATAACAACCATGACAACCATATTTTTAGTGCTTAATTTTGGACCAAAAGTCATTGTTAATGACTGTCTGTATTTGGATGAATTAGTGAGGACTCAAAAGTTTCAATAAAACTGAAAATAATATTCACACCATTATGTCTCGCATTTGTACCTAATTTATATGAAATGAGTGAAAGTGTATCTGAGAATTTGGTGGAATACATGAGAGACAAGTACTTGTCCATATTGAGAGATATTGCTCTGGAACAGCATTCAAAATCAGTCATTTTCAATACATGTGTATATATAACATGATGTATAATGAATATATAAAATTTAAATATAATAAGTCAAAGCATTTAAGAGATATGGCTCTAGAAGCCCAATCATTGAAACAAAATGGCCGCCAGTCAGCCATTTTAAATCCAATCTGAAAAATAAATCGACGAGCATCAGGAACCCGTAATGTCTAATATATGTACCATGTTTGAACGAAATCCACCCATAAATGCCAGAAATGCTTGATATTTGATGATTTTTTAGCACAGAAATGACCACCATTCAGCCTTTTTGAATAGGATAGTCAAATCAATATATCTGTCTATCTATGACATGATGTATAATGAATATTTAAAATTTGAACATAATCAGTGAAAGCAAGTCAGAGATATGGCACGAGAACCAC